TTAAGATTTAACAGTTTTTTGGCATCCCGAAAGTCGTGGTGCACAAAAACATGGATAAAATCGTCGCCGCGCATGCGCAAACGATTTTTGATCGAAATTATGCTGATACCCTTGAGATTTAACAGTTTTTTGGCATCCCGAATGTCGCGGTGCATAAAAACATCGATAAATTCGTCGCCCCTCATGCACAAATGATTTTTCATCGAAATTATGCTGCTAATCTTGAGATTTAACAGTTTTTGGGCATCCCGAATGTCGCGGTGCACAAAAACATCGATAAAATCGTCGCCAGGCATGCGCAAAGGATTTTTCATCGAAATTATGCTGCTACCCTTGAGATTTAACAGTTTTTGGGCATCCCGAATGTCGCGGTGCACAAAAACATCGAAAAAATTGTTGCCGCGCATGCGCAAACGATTTTTCATCAAAATAATGCTGCTGTCTTTGAGATTTAACAGTTTTTGGGCATCCCGAATGTCGCGGTAAACAAAAACATTGAAAAAATTGTTGCCGCCCATGCGTGAACGAGTTTTCATCGAAATAATGCTTCTACCCTTGAGATTTAAAATTTTTTAAGCATCTTGAATGTCGCAGTGCACAAAACCATCGAAAAAATCGTTCGCGCGCATGCGCCAACGATTTTTCATCAAAATAATGCTGCTAACCTCGATATTTAACAGTTTTTGGGCTTCCCGAATGTCGCGGTGCACAAAAACATCGAAAAAATCGTTCCTGCGCATGCGCAAACGAGTTTTCATCAAAAAATGCTTCTACCCTCGAGATTTAACAGTTTTTGGGCATCCCGAACGTCGCGGTGCACAAAAACATCGAAAAAATCGTTGCCGCGCATGCGCAAACGATTTTTCATCGAAATAATGCTGCTACCCTCGAGACTTAAGAGTTTTTTGGCATCCCGAATGTCGCGGTGCACAAAAACATTGAAAAAATTGTTGCCGCGCATGCGTAAACGAGTTTTCATCGAAATAATGCTTCTACCCTTAAGATTTAAAAGTTTTTGAGCATCTTGAATGTCGCGGTGCACAAAAACATCGAAAAAATCATTTCCGCGCATGCGCGAACGATTTTTCATCGAAATTATGCTGCTACCCTTGAGATTTAACAGTTTTTGGGCATCCCGAATGTCGCGGTTCACAAAAACATCGATAAAATCGTCGCCAAGCATGCGCAAAGGATTTTTCATCGAAATTATGCCGCTACCCTTGAGATTTAAATAATAATTTTTATAAATAATAATAATTTATTTATCCATCTTAGGTATAAAATTACAATGGATTTACAATTACTAAATATGATTAAAATGTATGTATATATACAAATATAATAAATTTACGATTTTAAAATTATGTCTATAATAGTGCATTAGTCCTTGGAATAAACGAAAGTTTATGCCTATTGGTATGAGAGAAGAACTGCGGTAGAGTTCTTGGAGTTCTTAGATTATATGTTGTCGTCACAATATCCACAGGACGAAAAGCGTGCCATTAATTAGCTTTAGCAAAAATACTAAAGGTATTAAATGCGTATCTATAACTTTTAATAAGCCGACTAAAGGTGATTAAAGAAAAAGTTACATTTAATCGCATTTATTTTGAATAAAACATCTCTTTTGGAAACCGATAGATTTAATTGCATTTAGTGAGCATTTTAAAGTGGGTTAAAGCCGACATTAGTGCGCGTATAGTTTAATAAACTTTAACCAGTTGTTTAAATGTTGATTAAAGGCAGAGATAGCATTTAATCACCTTTAATTTGATTTTAAATGAAGACAAAACCTGACACCTACTTTAATTCCGTTAGGACGGCAATTTAATAGGATTAAATATATTGTTATTGCAACAATTATATGGTAACAAATAAACATGATGATATCTGATACGTTTGTTATTATCGAGTAACGTAATGCTATAATGCGCCTTTATTTCACCTGAATTTAAGCACTTCGAGACACTGTCGGACAATATACAAGAAATAAGAAAGACTTCTTATTGTGCAAATTCGCTCATTAGTAATTATAAAGTGCGGAAGTGATTGATATACAAGTTTATATAAATTTGGCCAAAGTGCGTGGCAGTTATAATACGATATGGATAAGGCGAACAGTTACGTGTTTTGCGACCACTGCGAACAAAACGTTTCGGAAACAACATTCCGTAGACATATGGCTTTAAAACAATCTCGCCAGCTGAAGAGAAGTTTGAAGAAAGATTCTTCAACGTCTTCATCCGACACAGACGGAGAAAGTGATTGTAACAGTTACAGTTTCAAAGGTGAGAGTGTTTTGATGCAAGTCCATAATATACAGCTATATCATTATTAGCACACTGTCCACCAATTCCATAAAATTCAGTAACCAATATGTATGGCTTTGATTGTACATTGATACCAAACAGAAATGGCAAACCTTATATAAGAAAAGTATTATGAAATTATAAATAAATAAAATAAGTCATGAGTCTTCTTGTATTTCCATGTACAGTACAATTTTACACAATCTGAATACAGAGACATTGAATGAAGTTGATCATGAACAATCAACTATTAAAGCAGAAGTTTCTCAGCTTTAAATTTTGAGTGAAAATACAAACTTCAGGATCAGTTTTGCTAGAAGAGTTGCCATACTGCTAATCATTATTCCACATGATCATACCTAACGGTAAACAGGCCTATCCCCAACATTGATAATTGGTGGTGTGGGGGGGATGGGTGTATTAATATATCCATGTAAATATGAACATGAATATATGAATATACACACCCCTCCCAACTATCCACGTAAACTCTGTTACAGTGCCGTAAGTTTCAAGTATGCTGTAATCATAATAATTAATCATTTTCATACCAGGGTGATCAAATGAATTAATCATCATGGCTTCCTTTTCCACATCAGTTCTACTTGTATGGCTTTTAAACTGTTTCACAGCAACTACATGCCCTCTGTACATCTTTTTTACACAGATGCCAAATGTCCCCTCACCAATTTTATTTTTTCGTCCACTTGACAATATTTTCAAGTTGGCTGGGTCAATTTCATGGATAGACCTAGAAAAATTTAAATAAATAATAGCCAGGTTGATATTGAAAATATTTAGGCTTGAATATTGTTCAGCTGTATAACTGCTATTCAGTATACTATAGTTGAATGCATTAGGTGGCAATGCCCCCTACTTATTTTTTTACTTGTCTAATGTCAGATTATTTCATTTGTCAGGGGGAAGCTCTGCCACTTAATGTGTTAACTACAAAAGCTGACAATCTCTCGAGTTAACGCATTAAGTGGCAATGTGCCCGGCATGCCCTACTTATTTTTTACTTGTCTAACGGCAGACAATTTTACTCATTAGTGTGGAAGCTCTGCCCCTTAATGGGTTAATATAAAGATCAAATGATCTTCAAGACAGTGTTGTTTCATGAATTGACAGCTACTGTAAGCACAAACTATTGTTTCAAAAGGTTGGAGACATATGGTCATATCTGTAGCTAGCATTTCATGAGTACCCCATTAATGTTCAAATTGCTTTCTCTTCTTAATTGGCCAGTACAATAGTAACTCCAAACGAGCAGAACATTTTGAGCACATTCTAGCTTCGGAATAAAAAAGCTAGTAAAGTGAGCTAAAATTTACAACATTTCACAACCAAACTTTGAAAATATACTAATTTTAGTATGCTCTTTTCCAGCTTTGGTGATTTATTTGAATCTCCTTGTCTATTTCAGTCCATAATTGGAATTGTCAATTGTGTCTAAAGTTTTTATGAATCATGCAAGATAAATGTACTAGGGACAGAGGATTCTAAATACTATACTATTACACCATTTATATCAGACTCCCTATGTACAAAGGCCCAAATCAAACATTCATCCCATCGCTTTCCACCCACAGCAAAGTTTGTATTGAGTATTGAATGAAAATGTTGCAGGGGAAATTTAAATTTCACACAAAATTTGAATTATAGTTTTGATCACTGTATCATCATTCAATCAAATGCAGATTCAAAAAGATTTTGTCTAATCGGGCAATCAGACAAAAAAGCCTGAATCTGGCTTTTTACATGCAGCATGGTAAAGAATATATCAGGTCCTCCTTCATTTGTCGCTGCCAATCAATCATAGCGAATGAAAACATACTGTAGGCCTGGGGCATGATACTTAGGTTACATTGTTGGTCAATGTTCCACTTCATTTAATAATATAAACCCCTGCCTATAAATGCAGTTTTCTAAGATGTGGCCAGAACTGCCAAATGAATTCTGTTAAGGTTGGAAAAAAATATTTCATTTCTGCAAGGGGTCTCTTAAATCCCAGCGTTAAAAAAGCACATATTAATATTATTCAATCAAAATTGCTTAGATTCTGGAGGGTCAAATATACTCCATAAGGGGGGGGGAATTATACTGAATATAATGTGGGGTGCTTTAATGCAGTATAACAGTATTAAGTAAATACACACAATTTTAGCAATCTATCGATATAACCCTGCTTCTATAAACTGCTCAAATTAAATATAAGGAGCAATATACATGTACTTACATACGAGACGTAGTACGCAAAGACTTTTCCTCTCTCCACTTTCTCCAAAAAAACTCGGCCTTCGATCTCATTTCAGTCGTTGTGGCTTTCAATTCTTTCTCAATATTTTTCTTTATTTTCTCCTCCAGCCGTCTTTGCTTGACATTTCTGGTCTCTTTACGTTTCCTTTCTCGTAATTTCTGTTTACGTCGGCGACGTTTAAGGCGCACTTCCTCGACATTATTTGGTCTGGAGAGACGACGCTGCTTCGCAGGTATAAAACAATTCTGTTCAGCCTCTGGTGGCACTGGGCTTTTAGCTTCCAGAAGGCTGCGCATTCCACTGGTAGCAAGTGCGCCACTCGCTGTGTGGAAAGACTGGTTAAAATGTGCCATTTCAACCGGTTTTGCGCAAGGTATACCACCAAAAGCTTTACAGAATTTTTCAATTTAAGGCTTTTCAAAATATTTGTCGTTCGTTGTCATTGCGCCAAAGTACGTAATGTGTGCTTCCCGCGCTTTTGCGTTATTTAACAATTATGAATTTATGATATTTGTCTCCGATCGGATAACTGTCCCCTATAGGGTGGGTAGGCAACTCATAATATGTCTGTTCTATAAATAACGCGACTAAAACAATGGCGGATTATCGTTGTAGAGGAAATGTGCACGGAATCAATTTTTAAATGACTTAGTATTCGTAAGGAAGCCCAATTTACATTTAGGCCAGTGCTTTTCTAGGTTATCTGGGTAAAGACTTTGATGTTCGTGTGTTATACCTAACGGAAGAAATATGATAACGATAGAATCCTGCTGTGAAAGTTTTCTACAACCAATGAAATATTGGACGTGATCGCGCTCAATTATAAATCTACATACAATTCAACAATCAACTGTGTCAATGTGTTCAAAGTCCTTTCGCGACAAACAGCTGAATCTGACTTCACTGGATTTTTCGACATATCCACTGAAATGTCTTTGCCCGATCAGTACGTTTTATTATTACAAAATGTGGTCGAGGAAAACAGGCTCTTGAGAGCTCAAATGGCTAATACCATTTCAAGCAATGAAAGTGCTTTGAAAAATATTGAAACAAAAATGGACATCTTGTCCCAGACAACTTCACCTGGCAGACGAGTCAGACAGACCGGGCAGAACAAACATAAAGTGCCCAAAGCTTGCAGTGTAAGTAAATACAGTTTCATTTATTTCCTATTAACCATTTCATCTGAATGGCTTTATGCCTTTATCCGTTGACCGTTTATGTTGAATAACAGATTTTAATAATATGAGGACAAAAATGTCCATATTGTTTGAATTGGTCTTTGTTTATATATAGTTATCTTTGTATGTTTTAAAGTCTTTATAAATGTCTCCTTATTATGGTAATATAATTATATTTACTATCAACCTATTCACTGCTTGTACCATAACACTAAAGGAGTAAAATGTCTGGTGTTACACAGAGAAAATCCAGGGGGCATGTCTAGGCACATTGCCACCAATTTAGGCTGACTTTTCAACTAAATGTTCAACTAAAAGCCAACCAAAGGTTTAACAGAAATCAATTGTAAGAACTGTAAAACCATGTTTAAAAAACCATTATTTTTAGATATTTAATTTTGAAAATGTGTTTACTATGTTCTTCAATAGAATAATGTCCGAAGAAAACTCAAGGCTCTTAGGAGTGCTGATGAAAATATGCACTTTAGATTAACTGAAAGGTAATGCATAAAGGCAACTTCTTTCAAATACTAATTTATATTAATAAAACTGGTGAAGTCATGTTACCGAGATGATGTACATTGTTTACCTTTCCGATGTTAGTATTTTAGATTGAGTCTTATCTTATTTTTATTGATTGTAATTAATATATTACCAATTAAGCACCAGCACTCTCCCCTTAATGAGTAAAATAGTCTGGTGTTAGACAGAGTAAAACGCCAAAGTAGGGCGCATCAGGGCGCAAACTTGATGGGTAACCCATTAAGTGGCAATGTGCCCCAGGACACCCTACTTATATTTTTTACTTGTCTATTGCCAGACGAAATACTCGTCAGTGGGGAAGCTCTGCCACTTAATGGGTTAAACTGCATATTAGACTGGAAGTTGTGCTGACATGCTATAAATATAAATTATACCAGTCTTTGAAATTTTATTTGAAGCCTTCAGAATTCTATGTGAGGCCTTCAGAATTGTGCGATATATGGTGAATTCAGAACATGTGATAATTATGCAAAATTCTGAAGGCCTTAAAATAAATTCATAATGGCATACATAAAATTCTAAAGGCTGGTATATTTTAATAGTGTGTCCCTTTGTACCACGTACAAGAACACTATCTTTTGAACAGTAACTCTCAAACTGAGCATGGAAGTTCGACAGTATGCTACACAGGTTAAGCACAAGTAATAATTTTGAACTAATTAAGTTTCTTGTTTCTAGCCCCGATTCTCAGCAAAATTCACAGCTATTTAAAAGAGTGGCAGAAGAACTGCAACATGAATTTGGTGGTCAGGAAAATTGTCCTTGGCCAACGGTTGTTTTAAAAGGTATATACTCAGAGTTTTAACTTGTAATGTAAAAGAAATATAGCAGCAATAAATCAGTTGACTAATATGTTCCTTAGTTCTCCAGTCTCTGAGTATAGACGTCTAATAGGATAGGGATTCAACCCTTTTTGCGGGAGTCGTGTAATTTATTTTAACAAGGCGCATCCAATGAATTACGACATATGAAAACCAGGTTTAAACCTTCGTCACAGGGAAAACCTTTCTCTGCGCTGGTGGTGCCCCATACGCACAGCTTTTTTGCAACTATGTTTTCAAATTGGGTTTTCCCTCGTGAAAGTAAGTTTCCTAGAAATTAGGGCCCTGAATCTAGAAGGTGATTGTTGCTTTTTTATGTTTTAGAGGCGTTTAAGAGGTATTTCAAGTCATGCAAAGCAAAACAGAAAAGAGTTGCTCTTGGAACAGAACAGCAACACGTTCAAATTTGCAGGAGAAGGAGCAGAAAGGAGGAGGTATGTTTTTACAATATCTTTTTAAAAATAGTTGATACTTAATGATTATTTTAGCTTTGCTTCATACTTGATTGAACACGACTATCTAACTACTTTTAACGTAACAGTTAAACAGTGTAGTAGGTTATATGCAACTACATGGAAAATAAGAAAATTCTTCGATGTTTCGAGCGAAGCCCCATCAAGAAGTTGGTTGTAGTACTTAGTTGGATAACCTACTACACTGACATGTAAGACTCGAACTCCGAAGAGAAAAACCACCGGAAGAAAATTAGCAACTGGATTTTAGGCGAGACTATACTTAGCACCACAATCTCAAACACTTACCCAAGTAAGAATATAATTATTCGACGATATTTGCTTTTAGAAACTAGCGAGAAGATTAAAAACGATCGAGAAAATGGGTTGGAACCAGACGAAAGTGGCAAAGGTGGCAGACGTCATGAGAATGGACTATATGTCCTCTGAAAAAAGCGAGGTAGACGAGGAAACAAATAGGATTAAACACTACAAGGTTCGGAAGCTTTCTTGGGAAAGCAGAGAATTAAAGCGAACTAAGAAGAAGCTTGATAAAAACCACAAGGATTCGCTACCTGGATTGTCCAAACGAGCTGTTACACCAAGAGAGGAAGGAGAACCCTCCGGTAAACCAAAACCAGCCAACTGTCCTGGTTGGGCGTGTGTTGTTCTAACTGAAGACCCGACAAATGAACCAGTTGGAGCACAATATTTAGCCGAGGATGATTTGAATCTGTCACGATAGACTCTTTAGTTAAAAATTGCTACAAAATTATTTCAGTTACATGTACATTGACGATGGACATCCTAGAAGATGCAAATAATTATGTATGCTAGTCCGATGCTCTACCAAATGAGCTACAAGGCCAAGTCGGTTCTTAAATATATGTTTACTCCGAACTCAAAGTTCAGTGCCCTTGTTTATTGGTCTCTAGACGCGCAATATATTTTTGAAAATATATTGGCTATTGCGCGTCTGGAGATCGATGCACTGACTGAACTGTAAATTTTAATTGTTGAAAACACCATATTATTCACCGTACCAGAAACATCACATCATGCAATAATATTAGTATAGGAATCATGGATGTATACTATACATTACGACTTATCTATTTATTTAAAATGATGAATTTTTGTAAATACACGGGTATAGAGGGAAATAAATGCTTTTTTGCAATGAACTGGTGATGCTTGTATTTGTTTGACTATAGCTAGCTATACGTGTAGCTTGTACCAAATATAACGATTAGAAATTTAAGTTTTATTGCGAGTTGAGCTTGTAATTGAATGGAAATCAGTTTCTTCGTTTATTTACATGGAATAGGTTATATAAGTATAACAGCCATGCAGCTAACGAATTAACAAAAGCTGAATTATTGTGAATATAATAGGTTAATTAAAGACAGTTTAAATGTGCATTTACGCAAGGTTTAATCAATGTTTTAAGGCGATTAATCTATACTTATCTCACGCTTTATCGACCTTTAAACAATGTATTAAATCTACTTTTAATACACTTTAGCCAACTAGCACATTTATGATTAAAATCGACTTTAGTCAAAAAAGTCAAGATATTAAAGGCAATTATACGTTCCTTTAAACTGCCTTAATCTGCATTTAATCCACTTAATTAATCTGCTTAGCACACTTTTAACATTTAGTCTTAAGTATTAATCCCGCCGTTAATACACTTAGTACTGAACATTAAACGTGTCTAAAGGTGTGTTTAGTGTATTTAATAAATCGCATTAAGTGTAACTAAACACCAATAAAATACACGATTAATCTGCCTTTACAACCGTATTAAGGGCACGCTTTTCGTCCTGTGATCTGGTATGTATTTCCTGCAAGGGTGCGTTTCATTATCCATAATTTTCTTGTATTCACGTATGGCGAGCATGTCACGACGCTGTTCAAGAGACTGAAATGAATCACACGGCAAAGCAAGTATTTTTAGACTTCGAGTTTGAATGTTCTCCACCTCATCTATTAAATATTGTGGTAAACCACTCCAAATTGGGGCTGCATATTCCAAAACCGGCCTAATTTTCGTGAAGTAACAAGTTAAACCTACTTCCGTCGGTAGGTTTGCTCGGCGGCATTCCCGGAGGTGGAATAAACGTTTGTTTGCCTTTTTAGTAATTTCTTCAACGTGTGTGTTCCATTTAAGGGTATCGTTACACCAAAGGCCCAGCAGCTTGAACGTTTTTACTCTTTCAATTGTATCATTACCAATCATAAGTGAAGGTGGTGCAGGAATTCCTTCTTTGAAGCAAATCCACATATCTTATAGTCTTTTTAATATAAGTTCCATCTTGTTTCTAAGTGCCCAGTCATTCGTTGATCTAACACCGTTTGAGTGTGCCAGTGGGAGCAATATGAGATTGCCTCATCCTGAGTGCAATCATCTGCATATTTGTATGTATTATATCTGCAAATGGTTGGGAATGCAATCTTCAAGATCGTTAACAATAGACATAAACATGTTGGTGAGATGACAGACAGCCCTGGGGACTCCGGAAGGACAGGACCTAATAGATGATAAACTCGCACCTATTTTTACTCGGGCTGTCTTCCTTCTAAGAAACTCTTCGTCCATAACCAAAGCATTTAGATACATTCATTTCAGCTAATTTTCTTAGGAGCAAACCATGGTCAACCATATCGAAAGCTTTACGAAAATCAATAAATGGCATGAATTCCCATTCTTCCATCCCGTGAATTTTCGGTCTATTGTACCAATTTTGGGTAATACTCGCTAACGCAGATACTGTTGATCTTCCTTTTGTAAATGCATGTTGATTATCTTTGATGTTAAGGTCATTTTTATTCAGTTTAAGTTGTATGGTTTCCAAATTTTTTGCCATTTGCGGTAATACAGAGATTTGCCGGAAATCATTGTCAATATCATTCGGGGGTATACTTTGGGCACAGGGGTGACCAATGCGTGCTTATAGAGAGTCGGGTATTTGGACTGGGAAATGCTAGAGCAGATGATATTATGAATAATAGGGGCAAGCTCTTCACTGTAACGTTTCAGTAGCCATGCAGGAATGTCGTCCGAACCGCTTGCTTTCTTAGGTTTAGGTGTTTGAGAATTGCCTTAATTGTCCAATCGAAGGTAACAGCGGCTTGGTATCTTTGAGTAAATGTTCAATTTCCTCTAGTTTTGGTTTTTCATTAGGAGTGGTGCTCTGCCAAGGCTTGGTGAAACTTTGTTGTAAGCGTTCAGCTAGGTCATCTGTGGGGGCTGCTGAAGATTGGAAGTTACAATCATTAGCAGCCACAAGTTCATATATAATTTTATACCACTTTGCTGGGCTTGTTACACGTGTATCTTCCGCTTTCGATTGATAATACGTTTTCTTAGCACTAGATATAAGTGAAAAACTTTGTCACATAATAATTGGTATCTTGATCTGTTCCCTGACGTAAACGCTTTTTGTCTGGCCTTTATTTCTTGCTTTATACGCGGGGTCATCCAAGGTTTACTGAAGGATGAAAACGTACAGTACGTTTGGGCAGCGTTTATCAAGAATACGCGTGATCATACTTGTGAATTTCGAAACTTTATCGTCAATCTCATCAGCATCATAAACCATTTCCCAACTTTGCCTGTTCAGATGGACACTCAGATCGATTAAGTTACTACATTTTGTCAGGCGTACTTTTCGGGAATCGCCTTCACTTTTCTTTCAGCTTTGGGGTGAGTAAGAGACACTGATGGTCCGAGCGGCCAATCGGCGGGAGATGTTGGATGTCATTGTAAAATTCTGACATATTGTAAGGATTTGATCTAAAATATTTCTGCCCTAGTAGGAGCTCGTACAACTTTGCAAAGGTTAAAGCGCCTACATACTAGATTCAGTTTCATTTTGTTAAAATCTCGGCGATGATTATACCTGCTGAAAGGATGGTCTTTCAGAATTTCATCAAGTCCATTTGTGATATACTCGAGCATTGCTCTTTCATCTTCCAACGTCTGACCTGGTGGGTAGTATACACTAATACTATTATGGCACTATAAGGCCTGGGAGTTCTAGGCGGTTTAAGCAGGAGCCATAAGACTTCTTTATCTTCCACTTCAAGATTTGTAAGACGGAGTAGGCATTTGATGGTGCACATAGGCTAAGACACCGCCACCAGGGGTAGGGCGGTCTCGTCGATATGCGTTGAACTTCTCACTAATTTCTATAGCAGCATCCGGAATATTTGAGTTCAGCCAGGATTCTGTAATTATGACCAGAGATGGGTTATTGACAGCAGCGATTCCAGAAAGTTCTGTAATTTTATTTGTCACATGACATGCATTGGTTAGGAGTATAGATGGAACTGAGTAGGTGCTAGGTGGCATAACTAAGTTACTTTTCGTTAAAGAAATTGGCACTAGATTACAACGATATTTTTGAGCATTATATCTCGGTTTTGTAGTGGGTCTATGCGAAGAGATTCGGACTGGAATTGAGTTCACCATTTCACTAGAGGGTGCATCATCATCATCTAGTTCATTTCCTGCTAAAAATGTCTTGGAGGAGTAATAAACACCCTTCTCAACCAGCGGGTGGGGGTCTTGTCTTAGCGTCTTAGAGGTGTCATTGGGATCGACGCCAGAGATTTAACAGTTTTTGGGCATCCCGAATGTCGCGGTGCACAAAAACATCGAAAAAATCGTTGCCGCGCATGCGCAAACGATTTTTCATCAAAATAATGCTGCTGTCTTCGAGATTTAACAGTTTTTGGGCATCCCGAATGTCGCGGTACACAAAAACATTGAAAAAATTGTTGCCGCTCATGCGTAAACGAGTTTTCATCGAAATAATGCTTCTACCCTTGAGATTTAAAAGTTTTTAAGCATCTTGAATGTCGCAGTGCAGACGACACCAATTTAACATTTGCAAGCAATAAAATTGAAGATATAGATTATTACTTTAATCAAGATCTTGAAAATGTTAATAAATGGCTTATCGCCAATAGGCTTACATTGAATCAATCCAAAACTGAATTTATGCTAATTGGCTCACGACAAAGAATATCTACTTTCCAATCAGACCCATGTTTTAAAATAGACGGAATTCCTATAGACAAGGTTTCACATACAAAATCTCTAGGAGTTCACCTTGATGAAAATCTATCTTGGAATATACAGATCAAGGAATTAACAAAAAAAATTGCTTCTGGTATTGGCGTTTTAAAACTCGTTCGTTCATTTGTCCCAGTTGCAACATTGTATTTAATTTTTATTTCCCTTGTCCAGCCATATTTCAATTATTGCTGTACAGTTTGGGACAATTGCAATAAAACCTTGGCAGATAAACTTCAAAAACTACAAAATCGCGCAGCGAGAGTTTTGACCTTTTCAAGCTATGACACTAATGCCGACATCTTACTCGATAGACTTGGCTGGAAAAAGTTATCTTCCCAACGCCAGTTTCAAAAGGCTGTCATGGTTTATAAATCACTCAATGGACTTGCTCCACAATACATGGGTTCCATGTTTGTAAACCGTGACAGTGTCAATCCTTATTCGTTGAGAAACACAAATAGTAAGCTGGCTGTTCCTAAGCCTCGCACAAACTATCTCAAGAATAGTTTTAGTTATAGTGGTGCGATGCTATGGAACAGCCTACCGATTGGGCTACGGCTAGCAAATAACCTATTAAATTTTAAAGCGGGCTGTTCCAAATTATTTTAATCTACATTCACATTTGTATTATATTATATTTCTTGTATATATTCCCTACACGGCTCTCATGAAAAGCAGGTATATTAATTATTAGTTTGATTTATCATTGTAAATATTTTTGTAGTCTTATTTTGTAATTCATAATCTTGTCATTTGTCACCATGAAAATCCTGATTGAGAATACCGTGTGTAAATAAAGTTTAATAATAATAATAATAATAGTGCACAAAACCATCGAAAAAATCGTTCGCGCGCATGCGCAAACGATTTTTCATCAAAATAATGCTGCTAACCTCGATATTTAACAGTTTTTGGGCTTCCCGAATGTCGCGGTGCACAAAAACATCGAAAAAATCATTGCTGCGCATGCGCAAACGAGTTTTCATAAAAAAATGCTTCTACCTTCGAGATTTAACAGTTTTTGGGCATCCCGAATGTCGCGGTGCACAAAAACATTCAAAAAATCGTTGCTGCGCATGCGCAAACGATTTTTCATCAAAATAATGCTGCTTCCTCGACATTTAACAGTTTTTGGGCATCCTGAATGTCGCGGTGCACAAAAACATCGAAAAAACCGTTAACGCGCGCATGCGGCGCATGCAAACGATTTTTCATTAAATATCTGCTATTCTCAAGATTTAATAGTTTTTGGGCATCCCGAATGTCGCGGTGCACAAAAACGTCGAAAAAATCGTTGCCGCCCATGCGCAAACGATTTTTCATCGAAATAATGCTTCTATCCTCGAGATTTAAAAGTTTTTGGGCATCCCGAAAATCGCGGTGCACAAAAACGTCAAAAAAAATCGTTGCTGCGCATGTGCAAACGATTTTTCATTAAAATAATGCTGCTACCCTCGAGACTTAACAGTTTTTGGGCATCCCGAATATCGAGGTGCACAAAAACATTGAAAAAATTGTTGCCGTGCATGCGCAAACGATTTTTCATCAAAATAATGCTGCTGTCTTCGAGATTTAACAGTTTTTGGGCATCCCGAATGTCGCGGTGCACAAAAACATCGAAAAAATCGTCGCCGCGCATGCGCAAACGATTTTTCATCGAAATTACGCTGCTACCTTTGAGATTTAACAGTTTTTGGGCATCCCGAATGTGGCAGTGCACAAAAACATCGAAAAATTGTTGCCACGCATGCGCAAACGATTTTTCATCGAAATAATGCTGCTATCCTCTAGATTTAACAGTTTTGGGGCATGCCAAATGTCGCGGTGAACTAAAACATCAAAAAAATCGTTGCTGCGCATGCAAAAAACGAGTTTTCATCGAAAAAATTTTTCTACATTCGAGATTTAACAGTTTTTGGGCATCCCGAATGTCGCGGTGCACAAAAGCATTGAAAAAATCATTGCTGCGCATGCGCAAACGATTTTTAATCAAAATAATGCTGCTTCCTCGACATTTAACAATTTTTAGGCATCACGAAAGTCGCGGTGCACAAAAACATATATAAAATCGTCGTCGCGCATGCGCAAACGATTTTTTATAGAAATTATGCTGCTACCCTTGAGATTTAACAGTTTTTTGGCATCCCGAATGTTGCGGTGCACAAAAACATCGAAAAAATCGTTGCTACGCATGCGCAAAAAATTTTTTATCTAAATAATGCTTCTACCCTCAAGATTTAACAGTTTTTGGGCATCCCGAACGTCGCGGTGCACAAAAACATCGAAAAAATCGTTGCCGCGCAGTCGCAAACGATTTTTCATCGAAATAATGCTGCTACTTTTGAGACTTAACAGTTTTTGGGCATCCCGAATGTTGCGGCGCACAAAAACATCGAAAAAATCGTTGCTGCGCATGCGCAAACGATTTTCATTAAAATAATACTGCTTCCTCGACATTTAACAGTTTTTGGGCATCCTGAATATCGCGGTGCACAAAAACATCGAAGAAACCGTTGCCGCGCATAGGTAAAAGATTTTTCATCGAAATATTGCTGCTACCCTCTAGATTTAACAGGTTTTTGGCATCCCGAATGTCGCCGTGCACAAAAAAGTCGAAAAAATCGTTGCCGCGCATGCGCAAACGATTTTTCATTGAAATAATGCTGCTACCCGCGAGATTTAACAGTTTTTGGGCATCCCGAATGTTGCGGTGCACAAAAACATCGAAAAAATCGTTGCTGCGCATGCAAAAAACGAGTTTTCATCGAAAAAATGCTTCTACCCTCGAGATTTAATTGTTTTTGGGCATCCCGAATGTCGCGGTGCACAAAAGCAGTGAAAAAATCATTGCTGCGCATGCGCAAACGATTTTTCTTCAAAATAATGCTGCTTCTTTGACATTTAACAGTTTTTTGGGCATCCTGAATGTCGCGGTGCACAAAAACATCGAAAAAACCGTTGCCGTGCCTGTGCAAACGATTTTTCATCGAAATATTGCTGCTACCCTCAAGATTTAACAGTTTTTGGGCATCCCGAATGTCGCGGTGCACAAAAACGTTGAAAAAATCGTTGCCGCCCATGCGCAAACGATTTTTCATCAAAATAATGCTGCTATCCTCGCGATTTAAAAGTTTTTGGGCATCCCGAATGTCGCGGTGCTCAAAAACGTCAAAAAAATCGTTGCTGCGCATGTGCAAAAGATTTTTCATCAAAAAAAAATTCTACCCTCGAGACTTAACAGTTTTTGGGCATCCCGAATGTCGAGGTGCACAAAAACATTGAAAAAATTGTTGCCGCGCATGCGCAAACGATTTTTCATCAAAATAATGCTGCTTCTTTGAGATTTAACAGTTTTTGGGCATCCCGAATGTCGCGGTGCACAAAAACATCGATAAAATCGTCGCCGGGCATGCGCAAACGATTTTTCATCAAAATTATGCTGCTACCTTTAAGATTTAACAGTTTTTTGGCATCCCGAAAGTCGTGGTGCACAAAAACATGGATAAAATCGTCGCCGCGAATGCGCAAACGATTTTTGATCGAAATTATGCTGATACCCTTGAGATTTAACAGTTTTTTGGCATCCCGAATGTCGCGGTGCATAAAAACATCGATAAATTCGTCGCCCCTCATGCACAAATGATTTTTCATCGAAATTATGCTGCTAATCTTGAGATTTAACAGTTTTTGGGCATCCCGAATGTCGCGGTGCACAAAAACATCGATAAAATCGTCGCCAGGCATGCGCAAAGGATTTTTCATCGAAATTATGCTGCTACCCTTGAGATTTAACAGTTTTTGGGCATCCCGAATGTCGCGGTGCACAAAAACATCGAAAAAATTGTTGCCGCGCATGCGCAAACGATTTTTCATTAAAATAATGCTGCTGTCTTCGAGATTTAACAGTTTTTGGGCATCCCGAATGTCGCGGTAAACAAAAACATTGAAAAAATTGTTGCTGCCCATGCGTGAACGAGTTTTCATCGAAATAATGCTTCTACCCTTGAGATTTAAAAGTTTTTAAGCATCTTGAATGTCGCAGTGCACAAAACCATCGAAAATATCGTTCGCGCGCATGCGCAAACGATTTTTCATCAAAATAATGCTGCTAACCTCGATATTTAACAGTTTTTAGGCTTCCCGAATGTCGCGGTGCACAAAAACATCTAAAAAATCATTCCTGCCCATGCGCAAACGAGTTTTCATCAAAAAATGCTTCTACCTTCGAGATTTAACAGTTTTTGGGCATCCCGAATGTCGCGGTGCACAAAAACATTCAAAAAATCGTTGCTGCGCATGCGCAAACGATTTTTCATCAAAATAATGCTGCTTCCTCGACATTTAACAGTTTTTGGGCATCCTGAATATCGCGGTGCACAAAAACATCGAAAAAACCGTTGGCGCGCATGCGCAAACGATTTTTCATTGAAATATTGCTGCTACCCTCAAGATTTAATAGTTTTTGGGCATCCCGAATGTCGCGGTGCACAAAAACGTCGAAAAAATCGTTGCCGCCCATGCGCAAACGATTTTTCATCGAAATAATGCTTCTATCCTCGAGATTTAAAAGTTTTTGGGCATCCCGAAAATCGCAGTGCACAAAAACGTCAAAAAAATCGTTGCTGCGCATGTGCAAACGATTTTTCATTAAAATAATGCTGCTTCCTCGACATTTAACAGTTTTTGGGCATTCTGAATATCGCAGTGAACAAAAACATCGAAAAAAACATTGCCGCGCATAGGAAAACGATTTTTCATCGAAATATTGCTGCTACCCTCAAGATTTAACAGGTTTTTGGCATCCCGAATGTCGCGGTGCACAAAAAAGTCAAAAAAATCGTTGCCGCCAATGCGCAAACGATTTTTCATCGAAATAATGCTGCTATCCTCGAGATTTAAAAGTTTTTGGGCATCCCGAATGTCGCGGTGCACAAAAACTTCGAAAAAATTGTTGCTTCGCATGTGCAAACGATTTTTCATCAAAATAATGCTGCTACCCTCAAGACTTAACAGTTTTTGGGCATCCCGAATGTCGAGGTGCACAAAAACATTGAAAAAATTGTTGCCGCGCATGCGTAAACGATTTTTCATCGAAATTATGCTGCTATCTTTGAGATTTAACAGTTTTTGTGCATCCCGAATGTCGCGGAGCACAAAAACATCGATAAAATCGTCACCGGTTATGCGCAAACGATTTTTCATTGAAATTATGCTGCTACCCTTGAGATTTAACAGTTTTTGGGCATCTTGAATGTCGCGGTGCACAAAAACATCGAAACAATCAATGCTGCGCATGCGCAAACAATTTTTCATCTAAATAATGCTTCTACCCTCGAGATTTAACAGTTTTTGGGCATCCCGAACGTCGCGGTGCACAAAAACTTGGAAAAAATCGTTGCCGCGCATGCGCAAACGATTTTTGATCGAAATAATGCTGCTACCCTCGAGACTTAACAGTTTTTTGGCATCCCGAATGTCGCGGTGCACAAAAACATTGAAAAAATTGTTGCCGCGCATGCATAAACGAGTTTTCATCGAAAAAATGCTTCTACCCTCGAGATTTAACAGTTTTTTGGCATCCCGAATGTCGCGGTGCACAAAAATATCGATAAAATCGTCGCCGGGCATGCGCAAACGATTTTTCATCGAAATAATGCTGCTACCCTTGAGGTTTAACAGTTTTTGGGCATCCCGAATGTCGCGGTGCACAAAAACATCGAAAAAAACGTTGCCGCGCTTGCGCAAACGATTTT